AGGCCCCACCCCAATCTGGTCCCCTCACCTGACTGAGGACTATGTGGCCAGGGACAGCATCTCCAATTCCAGCACCTCCACTTTTACCCCACCCATAAGTGGTCATACTATAATTTGAAGTAGGTGTCACTGCCCTCCCCCTTAATAAATGGCAAAGGGAACCTGAGAATTGTGAACAGGCTTCCGCCAGGTCTAAACAGCTTTTGGCAGAAGCATTCAACAGATCAAAATATGTGGTGCATTTAGGATGTCGGTCCTCTTGGATATGCTGCCACTATTAAGTGTCATCAAGTAGACAACTCACAGTGACTTTCAATAATCCATTGTATCGGTGATCATCTTCTCTAGCTGTCAAAGAAAACCCAAACCCCCAGGCAGCGGGGTGCACAACCCCGTGCAGGTGGCCAGAGGGCATGCACCATCTCCCGCATGTCATCTCGCGCATGCACGCATCATTTCGCGCACGCGAGGTGCCGGCGGGCACGCGGCATCCCCCCAAACGGGCAGCCGGCGGGCGGGCGCCATCTCCCATGTGCCATCTCTTGCGCAGGTGGCCCGTGGGTGTAGGCCATCTCCTGCGCGTCATCTCCTGCATGGGTGGCTTGCGGACACACTTAATTTTGGGCGCGGGAGGCTAGTGGCTGCCCGCTTCCCCTGCCACCGCCATCTTGGCTCCAAGAATTCTCCCCAGAACAAGTCCACATTGCAGCAGTGTGGCGGCTCCGCTGTACCAGTCTTGGGGAGGCTGGGTGCCTACCATCCATCTTGGGTGAGGGAATCCAAAAGTTCCGGCTGTGGGAGCCTCATGGAGCTGCTGTGGCAGTGTGGCATGGTGTGGGCTCTGCGGAAGGGGGTTGGGAGCTGCAGGACTCACCCATTCCTCCTTGGGAATCCTTGAATTCCTGTTGTTGAGCCTCAATCTTCACTGAAGACCAGTCATCAACTGTTTAACTGTTCAATTATCAATAAACAGAAGTCTGTAAAAGGCTATAGTGGCCCTGTTCCAAGTGGTCTGCTGCTCCCACAGCTCACCACATTGTCTCCACCTCCGCCGCCATCCTGGATCTCGGAAAGTACTTTTAAGAAGTCTGTAAAGATTTTTTGGTATATCCACAAAGCTTTATTTAGTGTTAACTTATTTATCATTCAAAATGTTAACCTTCTTAACATTTTTTATAACTGTTTTGCTTTGTTTTTAGACTAAAAGGCTTTTTTTTGCTAACTAAAGGGACATCATGCTTAGGAGGGTGGAGAGACAGCACAGGAGTGGAAGACCCTCTATGAAGTGGATTGATTCAGTGACTGGGGGAATCGGGATGGGTGTGTCAGAGGCAGTGCGACTGGCACAGGATAGAGCAGGGTTTAGGGCTGCTGTACATAGGGTCGCTATGAGTTGCAAGCAACTCAACAGCACATAATAACAACAACAACAACTTAAAATACATTCTGGACTTTTGTCTTTTTGGTTTGTTATCGGCCACTGTCTTCAATTTTTTCATGCAACTGTTCAAGTGTACAGTAATGTCATCTGTTCTTTTCCATCTTCTTTTGATGTTTCCTGTGTAATTCCGTGTTTTGGCCACATTGTTTACCACCGAGTCAGAACTGACCCATAGCTGATCCTCCTACTGTTTTCAGAGGCACACATTACATAGCAGGAGATTGCTCATCCATCTCCCATGGGACAGCTGCTGGATATGAACCAAGTGCCTCAGGACTGTAGCACTGCTTCTTATGATGAAGCCACCAGAAAGGTCCCATAGAACTATCCTCAATATTACAACTCAAGGCAAGAATTTTTTTTTCAGTTTTTCCACCTTGAGAAATGTAGTACCTGTACTTCCCTTTTGGTTTCCTGACTCTAGGTCTGTATGCTTTCTATATTATTACTATGTCTTTCTCAAGGCATCTCTTTTTTCTCTTTTTAAAATTAATATTTTTTTAATTCATAACTACATGTATGTTCCATACAGTCCTTCATTATATTTCAATCTTTTATATTGTCGGGTATTTTTTCCTCCCTTATAATTATCCCACCAACAACTGTGTAGGCTTACTACTGCATGCCTCATGCTCTAATATTCCCCTTTTAGATAGCAAATTGCTGATTTCCTCATCCCTATTAAATGTGTACTCTGAAGAAACCAGCATGTCCTTTTTGCTGAAAGATCCTCCATTCAAATGGTAAACTTTGAGCATCTGCATTCATCAAGGCATCTTCTGAAATCTGCCACTCAGCTCTTTTATCTCCTTATTTCTTCCATTTGCTTTAACTACTCTACATTCAGGTAGGTTCCAGAGTCTTACATCTATTTTGCTCTTTTCTTTCTTCTTTTTTATGATATTTTCTCTTCTTCATGTATTCTGTTCTTGATTGCCATCCCACACTTATGTGATCCTCAGTCATTACTATTTAACATATCAAATTTATTCTTGAGATGGTCTTAACATTCAGGTGAGATACACTAAAAAGTCATATTTTGGCTTTTTAGATTTAATGTCATTTTCTTTAGCTTCAATTTGAACTTGAATGTGAGGAACGATGCTGTATAAGATACTTAAATGGAGCCTGCAGGTATAGACTATTTTGGTTGCACTCTTAACCAAAATCTCAAACAGCACTATCAGTTCTATAGCCACCAGTGGCTCCTAGGGAAAAATAGAGGCAGTCAATTCTTATTGATAGTTATAGACTCAGAAATCTGACCAACTCATTGGCAGTGAAACTTATATTAATATGGTGGTGGTGGTGGTGTTAGGTGCCATTGAATTGAGTGCAATCCCATGAATAGAACTGAACCCTGTCCTATCCTGTGTCAACCTCACAATCTGACATACTCAAGCCTATTACTGTAGTCACTGTGTCAATTCACTTGGTTGAGGGTCTTTCTTTCTTTCTTTCACTATCCTCCACCTTTCCAAGCATGATGTCCTTCTGGAAGGAATAGCCTTTCCTAGTAACATGCCCAAACTATGTGAGACAAAGCTTTGCCATCCTTGTTTCCAAGAAGCACTCTAGCTATACCTTCTCTAAAACATATCTGTTTGTTCTTTTGGCAATCCATGAGCTATTCAATGTTGTTGTTGTTGTTAAGTGCTGTCAAGTCGTAGGCGACTCATAGAGACCCTATGAATGAAAGTCCTGGACACCTGTGTAACTTTTGTCCTTTCTCCAGATTCATAGGGCTTCCAGAAGCAAGATATTATGGAAGTGGATGCCACTCCTGCATTCAAGCTTGTTTTAATTGGGGAGCTTCACCAAACACTGTCCACCCTGGGTAACCATTCTTGCATTTGACTCCTCAGTGTCACAGTGTTTGGCTTCACAGCAACCACAACTTGCCTCTGTACAGCAAGTGGACATACAAAGTTACACGACTTAGAAGAATGTTTCACCAAAACAATTAAAGACAGGCCTGAGGGCCTCAGAGTAGAGTCACCCACCTTTGGCTTGGGAGCATGACTTTTTGTCCAACAGGCCAACTGCTCTCTCTCTCTCTCTCTCTCTCTCTGCTGTTGTTGGTGTTGTAGTTGTTAAGTGCCGTCGAGTCACAGACGACTCACAGTGACTCTTCTAATACCACAGTTCAAAAGTATCAATTTTTCTGTCATCCTTATTCACTGACAAGCTATCAGATGCATAGCAAGCAACTGAAAAGACCATGGTCTGAATCCAGCACAATTTAGTCCTCACACTAATATCATTGCTCTTCAGTAATCTGAAGAATTATTTATATTAATATACTTAAATAGTGGGAGAAGGATGGGCAATCTCCTCTCATGCGATTAACTGCCTCTGAAAAACCTGCAGGAGGTTTCAGCTATGGGACGGTTCCAACTCTAAGTACACAACAACAACAGATTTAAGTATAAAATATTAAATAGAATCTCAAATCACATAAAGAACAACAAGAAATAAGTCTAGGAAGGAAGAAAAAAATGTTTTCCAAAATGTTTTTAAAAAAACAACATACGAAGTATCATTAGGAGTTCTTGTGGTACAAAAATGGTGGTGGTGTGACCCTATTCTAGTGAGAAAAAGACTTGGTGATCTCTTAAGCAAAAAAGGTAAAGGTAAGTAGGATGAACATACCTATTGACTTTGAGGAACAAAAGATTTGGTGATCACTTAGAAGATTGGGAAGTTCTACTTTGTCCTGTAAGGTATTGTTGCAGTCACTATGTCAATTCATCTCATTGAGGTTCCTCCACTTTTTGGCCAACTCTCTGCTTTTTCCAAGTATGATCTCTTTCTCCAAGGTTTGGTACCTCCTGACAACATGCCCAAATGATATGAGATGAAGTTTCACCATTCTAACCCAACTAAGGAGCACCCTGGTTACACTTCAAAGATAGATTTATTTCTTTTGCAATTCATGGTATATCAATACTTTTTTCCAACACTACAATTCAAAGGCATCAATTCTTAGGTCTTCCTTATTCATTGTCCAACTGTCACATGAGTATGAAGCCACTAAAAATAATATGGATTGTGTTGGGTGCATCTTTGCCTTTAAACTGATGTCTTTGCTCTTTACTAAAGAGATCCCTGTGAGAAGCTTTGCCTAATGCTACATGACTTTTATTTACTGACTGCTGCTAGAAGAGGCTATTCCTTGGAGAGGGAAATCATAATTAGAAAGGTGGAGAGGTCAGTGAAAGAGAGGAAGAACTTCAACCAGATTGCCTGACAGTGATTGAAGCAATAGGTCCAAGTGTGTTAGAGATGTTGAGAATGGTAGAGTTCAGACATGTTGTTCACAAGGTTGTTATGAGCTATACTCGACTTGATGGCCACCACCACGTGTGTTGATTGTAGTGCCAAGAAAACAGAAATTATTGACAACTTCAATATTTTCTCCATCTATTATTTCTAGTTTTAGAGTGATATCAAGGCTATTTTCCATGAAGAAAGAAAAAGGTCATTAAAAAGGCAAAGAAGAAAGAAAAGACGAAAAAAGATGACTCTGAAATCTGCTCTTCAAAGTGGTTTTATGCTCTTAAGTCAGAACTGAGTCATAACTGACTCTGTAAAAGGTTTTCAGAGGCTGTAAATTACACAAAAAGAGACTGTCCATCTTTCTCCCATGGAGCAGCTAGTGGATTGGAACAAGCTGCCTTTGGATTTGCAGCATAATTCCTTAACTCTAAGCCAACAGAGCTCTACAGAGCTTATTTCCTGTTGTTATGTGCCAGAGTCAACTACAAATCATAGTGACCCTATTATCAATGGTTCTGAATCTTGCTCTATCCTGAGCCAACCTCATTGTCTCTGACACACCTGAGCCATTTCCACAACTACTGTGTCAATCCATCTCATCTAGGATCTTCTCCTATGCCTTCCCTCCACCCTTATAATCAAGGTGTTCTCCTAAGACTGGTCACTCCTGGCACCATACTCAAAGTATGTGAGCTGGAGTTTCAAAACCTTGCCTCCAAGGAGCAACTTAGTTTCATGGTCTTCACGACAGACAAGTCTGTTCTCTTGGCAGTCCATGGTATGGTCAACACTCTTCTCCAGCAACTCCAGGCATTGACTCTTCTTCTGTCATCCTTAATCACTGTCCAGTTCTCAGATGCATAGCAAACAACTGAGAAGGCCATGGCCTGGATCAGGCACACCTTAGTCTCTAGACTGACATCACTGCTTGTTAGCATGCTGGAGAGGTCCTTGACAGCTGATTTTCTTTTTTCTTTTTTTCAAAGATTGTTACAATTCTTGCTTTATTGCTCTTTTTCAGAGATATCAAAGACTTTTATTTAAAAACACAAATAAATTGCTTACATGCCAGGCTGTGATAAACGCTACACAATTACATACCTTTAACCTGCTAATGATGCATTATTATCATATTCATTTTACATAGGAGAAACAGAAGTATAAAAACTTTAATTTGCTTGAGTTTCCACAGCTAATCAGGTTTCAACTCCAGGGACAGCAGATTTTCTAATGCAGCTTATCTTTTGATTTCCTGACTGCTGGTGCCAAGGATGTGGATTGTATATACGAGTAAGATGAAATAGTTAACAACCTCAATCTTATCTTCATCTATCATGATGCTGCCTATTTAACCGGTGGTGAAGATCT